AGCACTCCCCTTTCTTTCCAACGGGAGCCACTCACTTCGGTCCCTGCCCCTAGCGTCCCCCCTTCTTTCCAACATGAGGTGCCCACATCCATCCGGGAGTGGTGCTCCTTGCTTTCGATGCGAGCCACCTGCATCCACCTCCAGTGCCCCAGGGGTTTGTCCTCCCTCCTTTCAGCACCAGCTGCCTGCCTCAGTCTCCACCCCAGAGATTGATGTTCCCTCCTTTCAACCGGAGCCACCTGCCTCCATCTCCACCCCAGGGATCAGCGCCCCCTCCTTTCAACGTGACCTGCCGGCTTCTGTCTCTGCCTCACAAATCGGCGCTCTCTCATTTCAACGTGACCCGCCAGCCTCCGTCTCCGCCTCACAAATTGGCGCTGCCTCTCAACGCGACCTGCCTGCTTCCATCATTCCCTGCTTTCAGCACACACCCCCAACTTCTACCACGCCGATTCCCAATGTGCAGGATGCTCAACCCCCCCTCGATGTTCAACTGCAGCCGCCCAACGGCGAGAGAATTCCATCTCCTGCTGATACCCCCTACACATGTGCAGGCTCGAAGAGGCGACATAGAGATTTTGTGACAAGCTTGGAGATGGCCGTCAAGGAGAATGAGAAGGCGAAAGATGAGGCTCCTGTTGTCCATGACCCCCCTAAAGTGTGTACTTTTGTTCCATGGCTGAACTGATATCACTGACACACAGGCAGCCCACGCCAGATGAAATGGTCCGCGTCCATCACCAACTCTTGAAAATCTCCGCCAGCGAGTACTCGACATATGCAGCCATGGCATGTTACGTGGCAGCCCTGACCAGAAATAGGTACGAAGTGGAGAAAGCATCCGTCAACGCCGTTCATGAGGCCCAGGATGGGTTCGCCCAGGTGGAGTCAAAGATTCAGTCTTGGCTTTGATGCTGTACTATGTATTTGAGAATCAAATTGCATTTTTCGAGTCCCATTTCCCCTTCAAGTGCCAGGATGATTTTCATTCATCTAATCAAGAGAACTGACACCATTATTCTTCAAAGTCAATTCCTGGGTAACTACAAAATAGAATTAATCTACATTACATGCCAAGACATGATAGATAGATAGATAGACATGCCACAGTATGAAGGTGGCTACGTCATATTATATATTGCTTGAGGCTCCGAAACTCGGCTACATAAAGACTTGAAATAGAAATCTGCAAATACAAATAGATTAAAGGAGGTTCATTATTCTCTAATCTATTCTGTATTTGCAGATTAAGTAGGTAAACTGAGTTCTTTCCCAGTGCAATGCTGGATGAAAAGAGGTACAAGTGCAACCGTACTTTCCTAAGGCAAGATTCCAAGTCAGCTGCCTTCGAGTTGGATGAAGTGGAGGAACGAAGCTTGTGGTGCAAGCCCAGCCAGATGGTTGGAGGGCGTAGTGGAACGCGAGCCCGGCTGGACGAGGACGATACAAAACTGGCAAAGCATCCAGGCCACTACATGTGTGCTAACTCCAGCAGATGGGACATCTTTTGGAACGTAAGCCTGGAGGATGGTGTTGGCCTGGATGATGCGACCATGAACTGGCGATGCGCCTGAGGCGCTACTACATAGGCTAACTCCGGCGGATGGGTCAGAGGACATCTTGACACCTGTGGAAATGAGTAATCAGGCAAAAAGATATAATGTGAAGATATGGCATGCCGATGCTATATGAATAATAAGGCAAATGGAAATGTAGGTATTGGTAACCATAAACCGGCGAAGCGCCTGAGGCGCTACGTAGGCTAACTCCGGCGGATGGGTCAGAGGACATCTTTGACACCTGTGGAAATGAGTAATCAGGCGAAAAAGATATAATGTGAAGATATGGCATGCTGATGCAATATGAATAATGAGGCGAATGGAAAATGTAGGTATTGGTATGATACAATGAAGGTTGTGTGGAAGGACAATAATTGGTATGCGGAGCCGAGAATAAGCGTGACCATAAGCATGGGTCACCAACCTGATGGAATTGCTGAGTCCCCTGGTGCAGATGTTCCGCTGATGCAGCAAGCGGAGCATGTGGGCATGGTGGGGTTGGATCCAAGGCCTGGGAGTGGTAGGAGGCGGTGCCTTGCTGAAACTGGGCACCGGACTCAGTAGTGGATGAATTTTCATTGAAGGGTGTATTGGAGGTCAGCGCAGCAGCATGTGCAGCCCGTTTTGAGACAAAGACGAGGGGGTAATGGAGGTTCTGGCGCGTTTCGCGAAAGTCGCGCTTGACGGCGGCTTCAAAGTTGGAGAGGATGGGGTTGTTGACAAGCCTGGCCGAATGGTGTGTGTGGCTAGACAACGAAAACCGCAAAGCACCAGAGGCGCTGCATACACTAATTCTGGCGGATAGGTCATATAAGGCACATTGTTGAACGCATGCCCAGCCGGAAGGCCGGAGGAAGGGTGTGCGGCCGGATAACGCATGTACTAGAACCTAAATTGGCAAATGGCTTGAGGCGCTACAACTACTAATTCTGGCGGAGGGGTCATATAGGACACCTTGTAGAATAGCTTGCCAAGTCAGCTAGATACATGTTCATGGAACATAGTCAAGGTCCATTAGATTGTATGTAAAGGGACACAGGTGCTATTGTTTGTGGTGGCTTCAAGTTCTCGCAGCTTGAAATGAGTGTGTTCTTTTTGAATTGCTTGTCTTGTCCTACGCTTATGTCCTTTCAGAGGTCACACTTGCACTCCTGCTGGAACACCTGGAGTTCTCCCTTGCCGATAAACAGATCATCTGGCAAATGACTGGCATTGCTACTCCTCATCCCAACTTTGACAGTGTCATGCCTAGTCTCCCAATTGTCATCAGCCATGCTGATTGATTTCCCATATATGGCCCGTTTTCTTCAGCATAGCTGAGCCTGCAGCAGATCTCACCATAACGTACCTCCTATTTTAGCAGAATTTAGGCTTTTGTTCATTCCACTGGTCAAGTAAGCTCGAGTTCGAGGAAAGTTCTGCGAGTTTCCCCATATAGCAAGCCAGCAACAGCCAAGCAAGCCAAGGCTGCACAACCACATTTTGCTCTAATTCGTTCAAAGTCAGAAGTCCTTAGGCCTTAGGTTTCTTCCATGTGGATAAGGCACAAGTATATGCTCATCTTCCAGCAGAGAAATACTCTTCTATCCAGCTGCCATTGAATTAGCTACAAGTCTGAAACATCTCTTTGCGGCCCAAGCTTTGAGTGGCCATCTGTGTGTTTCTAATAACCATGTCCCAAGTTCACTTCCCTGGGTTGTCTCTTGGGTTTGGAGAGAATTCCACTGGCGTTGGTCCAGAGTCGGAGACAGCATCACAGCATTATTGCAGCACTGTTTTTTGCTGCAACAATATACTATCCCTTTCCAGCTGTTTGCAGATTTGGGGTGTTTGCGTTTTCGGTCTTGGGCTCCAATCCTTTGTTGTCTCATCCTGGAAAAAATCCAATAAATCTGTATTGCCTATACTAGTAGCCCTATCTAATTTTTTAAAGGAAAGCTTTGGATGTCATTCCAAAATTCAGGATATGAGTTTTTGATGACTCCAAAATAGGGCACTGTAACCAAATGTCGAGTGTGATGGCAGCACCTCAGGCTTGCCCTAAATATTCTAAAATTTATACGGCCATAGATAAGCAACATCCGAACCACCGTACAAATTTTCAGAGGCAGAGCTGCAAGCCTTGCAAAGATAATCAACAATTAGTAGAAACAGCTATTCAAAGAGTGACTTTTGTGATTATTTTTGATCTCTGCATGAAAAACGGTTCACGGGCAGTCCCCAAGCAGAGCAAAGGATACGTGACAGTCAATTTCTCCTAGTCCTCAAAGAACGGCTTTTACAACACTTCAAAGCTTGTCCAGATGACAAGAACCTTCCTCGGTATGCTGGCCTCTTCAACCGTGGTCGTGCTTGGCCTCAAGCCTCTGATGGTGCCCCTATTAATCCCCCCATTTCTGAGATCACTCCCCCTCCGTCTATGCAACCGATTGCTGGACCTTCAAGGACAGCTCCCCAATCCCCACAGCGCTATCACCCTTATTATCCCTGCCCCCAAACCCACACTTCATTGCCAATAATTACCAATACTATCAGTGATAATCTACAGTTATCTACTTTCTCAATAGTCTAGCCTAAGTCAATATTAATCCATTACCCTGCGACGTCAATGCGACGTCCTGACTGAACTCTTGCGATTGCGAAGCCGTGTTGCCGTGATGCCGACGTCGATGTGCCGCTGTGACATTGAATGACGTTTTCCGCAAACACCGAGAATTCACGACTCTGCGTGATTGGGAAGCATCCGCTGGCCTCAATTCCTCAAAATTTCCCGATATTTTTTTATTTTCTCGTAGCCAAGACAAAAGACTATACTCCCAGCAAGTTTGGTAATTTTTGAGGAATCGAGAGGAGAGATACGGATCTGATACTCGAAAAACCCACAAACAGCTGGAAAGGGATAGTAAGCATCCGCGCGATCGAGTGATCATCGGCTGGGCCAAATTAGGCGATGCCAACAAGAAGCCGACTCCATGCTGCGAAAAGTAGCCACTTGCCTGCTGCTTCTTTGATCGATAGGACGGAGGTGTTTCCCGCTGCTGTCTCGTTTACAATGTTGCTTATCCTCCTCAGCCGTTCCTCCGGTCCTCTGGATATATCTATGGGGCGGGTCCTCTTTCGCCAGTCCACATTTTGCCAACATGTTCTCAACTTCATTTCTCTCCTCTCCTTCCAATATAGCTGGCGGCGTGGCACTAGGTTTTGTCTTCCTAACATGTTGGAAGCTTATTCGGCGCTTCGTTGTTCGCCAAAGTCTCGATAATTTACCTGGACCTCCTTCGGTGTCGTTCGCCACAGGTGAATGAGATTCGTTTTCTGGCTTCTCGTGTTATCTGATTTGTCCCCGCCAAGGCTGCTTGACGCAGCTTTTTAATAGGCATGCATGGGATTATCATCAGCATCTTGCAGACAATTGTGAGCCTGCGTGCCTTCATTTTGCCTTGTATTTGTACTCACGGGGTTTTAGTTGCTGGTGTCGTAAAGATCAAGGGTCTGTTCGGGGTAAGCGCTGGCTTCAAAGCGTCAGTTTTCTCGAAGTAATATCAATCTTGTTGTTTCCCTCCAGGCCAACTGTCTTTACGTCCATGATCCGAAGGCACTACACCACATCCTGCTCAAGGTAAGCCGACCTCTCACTCGCTATTTGGGCTAAATTGTCCTCCTCCAGGATCAGTACATATACGAAGAAACAGAGACCATGATCCAGTAAGTCTCCTAGAGAAAGCGTAGATATGATACTGACTATTCTAGAATGAACAAAGTGATGTTCGGCGAAGGGATCTTCACGTCTCTTGGTGAGCTAGATTTCTCTTCTATTTGGAGGCCTTGCTCACCGCGACACAGGCGAGAGACATCGTCTTCAAAGGAAGATGCTCAACCCCGTATTCTCGATTGCGCATATGCGCCGTATGGGTCAGTTATGTGACCATAAAAAATCTGCGCTCTACTAACTAGAAAACTATAACAGTTCCCATCTTCTATGAGGTTAGCCGTCGCGTCCACAACACTTTCGTGCAGATCGCCAAGAGAGGCGGCGACCAGGAGGTGCGTCAACCGAGGAGGGCCAGGAATTCTATTTTCTCAGCTCTCGTCCCCTAGATCAACATTATCGACTGGATGACCCGTCTTGCTCTGGAACTCATCGGCCAAAGCGGACTTGGTTTCTCGTTTGACAGTCTTGCTGAAGGCACAGAGCCGCATCCCTACGGCATCGCCTCTAAGATGCTCGTGTCAGTCCTGAGGCTCGCTTTCTTGCAATATATGTACTCACGTCAAATCCAGTTCTATTGCATCAGAAGGCTCTCATTTTTCCGGTCTCCTTGCACCGATAGTTGCAAAATTCGAGCATCACCCTCGTCTAGGCCGATGGATCGTGGACCGCATCCCAGGGTTGGCACCCATGAGGTTTATTGTTGACACCCTGAACAAGACTGCGGAAGAGATCATTGCGGACAAGAAGAAGGCTATCTTGGGTGGCGACGATGCATTGAAGGATCAGATTGGAGAAGGAAACGATGTCATCAGCATTTTGAGTGCATCGATATTCTTATCTTTCAACAGCCTTGTTTACTGACGATTCCAATTTATGAAAAGTGAGGGCCAATATGTTCGTGCCGGAGGAAGAGAAGCTGTCTGAAAAGGAGCTTCATGGGCAGGTCACGTAGGTTTCCACACCGCTATTGCTCTCAATTCACCGTTCGCTAACGGACTTATGACTTCCTTTTCTGCAGTTCGCTCACGTTTGCAGCGACGGATACAACGTCGGGTGCTCTCACGCGTACCTTGCATCTTCTGGCGATGCATAAGGACGCCCAGGAGAAGGTCCGGAAGGAGATTCAAGAGGCTCGAAAAGAATGCGGCGGCGAAGATATCCCGTATGACACCCTCGTCCATCTTCCTTACCTCGACGCTGTCTGTCGCGAAACCCTACGCTTGTAAGCCTGCTTCGCCGACATCGATATTCCAGTTTGATTCACTAATATTTTGCTCTAGGTATCCTCCTCTCACTGTCATCAACAGAACGTACGTAGTCCTCTCCCTGGTGATCATTTGCGTAAAAACAAGAATTAACGCCGTTTCATGTTTCATGTAGCACTCGCGCAGACGTCATCCTCCCCCTCGGAAATCCTGTCAAAGGAATCGACGGCAAGGAGATCCACGAGCTAGAAATTCCCAACGGCACAGACGTGTTCATCTCCATCATCGCCTCTAACCGTAATCCGGAGTATTGGGGACCTGACGCCCTTGAGTGGAAGCCTGAGAGATGGCTCGGCACTCTTCCTCAGGCATTAGTCGACGCCCATATCCCGGGTATCTATTCGAATTTGTGTGTCGCCGTTTTTGTGTCTTTCCTGGGCATTTCTGATCTTGAAATAGGTTGACTTTCCTCGGAGGCGGTCGTGCTTGCATGTGAGTTGCGGTCCGCTCCTGGTTTCGCCTTTTTCATTTACTAATCTACTCTGAAACTCTAGCGGCTTCAAATTCTCGCAACTTGAAATGAGTACGTCTTGCCCTCTCACCTTTCTGCCGCCTCGCAACTAAATAAACCCTCTGCAGAGGCTGCCCTCGCACTCCTTCTGGAGGACCTGGAGTTCTCTCTTCCCACCGGCAAGGAAATCTACTGGCAGATGAATGCAATCACCGCCCCGAACACGGATCTGAATGGTAAAGTCCCTACCATGCCTTTGAAGGTTACCTACCTTGGCAAATAAACCCAACGGATAGGAAGTTTCGCGAGGGCGTGCACCGTGCTCGTGTCGGATAAACACTCTAGAAGACATTCAACTCATAGAATTAGAACACATATGCCTATCATGATTGCTCTCGCCATTCGTCGCTCGTTTACTACGTATTTAGCATTTCAGATTTACTGTAAGAGTACATTGATCCTTTCCTGCGGCGGTTCGTAAACCGAGATAGGGGCTGGGCGTCTCCGGGCCGCATGAACTTGGCGCCGATCCGGCTCTTTGTCTCTTACTACCACCTCCACTGACGTCTTGGACTAGAGCAGTTCACAAGGCGTTGTCGGAGGCCCTGTTCTGATCCTCCACCCAGATCAGCGAGCGCTCTCTCATGTCAATCATTGAAAACCTGACACTGCCTGTCTCTGTGATTGATCTCCCCTTCTTTGAAGTTTGTGGCACCGATTCCGTCAACCAGCTCATCTCCGAAAGCCTTCAAGTTTCATGTTGCGACGTTACGAGACCGGGTTGCCTCTGAAAAAATTTGTCCAACTTGGATGGAATTTGTGGGGGAAGGAGAACCTCTGAAGTTGTTCTGCCTTCTTCCTTTCCAGCGGTTGTGTGTGCTCTCGAGTGTCTAGTGATGAATGCGCACACAAAGTCGACCCGGCGCTTGATTATCTGTTCAAAGTCTCATCGCTTCCAGCTTGGATATCCCATTAATGAGGCCGGATGACTCGGAGGCACCCCTTCCTCGTCGATGGAAGTGCCTGTAACTGAGCCAAAGCCTCTCTCGAATCATTCTGTCTGTTGACTGGCACCCAATCGTCCTGACCCACCGTTTCTCGAAGCAGTCAAGTCCTATTTCGGTGTGCTCGATCGCTGGGGTATTTAGCTGCCAGCGAGCTCGATCAACAGACTCTGTGGTACGATCTTCCGTCCCGCCCGCAGACTTCATGTACGTGTCGCTGAAATGAAACGTCTGGACTTCTATTAACTGACTCACGATCCTACGTTTCTAGGCATCTTCTCTCAACCCGTCTCCTCAATCACCTTCCTGCTCGTGAACTCGAGGAGCTGGGCGGGCACGCGTACACCCCAAACCTCAATCTCATAATTGCTTTCGATGCGCTCAACGTCTTCGCCGTGGTCACCCTCTCCACCATCTTCCTCACCGCCTGGTTCTCCCGCCAAGTTCGGCGGGTCTCGACGTGGTTTTTATACATCTTTTCCTGGGCGATTTTCAGCCTTGGGTACCTCCTCATTCTTGGGAACCAGACGGGCCCGCCACCACGGCAAGGATTATGCTTTGTCCAAGCCATGATGATCTATGCGACACCTGCTTTGTGCGTAACTCTTTTCTTGTATGAGGTCAAGGTCTAGGATGTTGAACGCATTACATTTTGCAGCGCCTCCACTTCAATTGTTGTATTTGTATTGCAGGTGAGCTGTCCCGCGGCTCGCCACTTTGATGCCCCGCCGGCGCTAAAATGGCCCTCCCTAGATATTTATTGATATTAGACAAGCGCTAGTATCGGAACGCATTCATAAAGACCATGTCCCTGTGGTAAATATATGCGCTTTTTTTCTCAACAAATTAATCGGCTGACCATGTTTCTTGCCTCTTAGTTAATAGCTATCCCACCCGTTCTCTTCTTCGCTATAATTTCTGAGGTCCTATTTGTGAGTAAGCCATCCCTGATTCTTTCACCCCTACGTCTGATAATTGCCACTAGTTGGGCCTCAACGAACCCGAAACCATCGAACGCGACGTCTCAGGGATGTTTTGTCATCTTTCAATTCCACTACCGTACGATGTATTCCCTCACGCTAGATCCTCTATCTTGTTCTAAAAAAAATCTCAACAGGAGCAGAGTTACCGGAGTCATCGTCCTAATCAACATCCTAATCATGGTGATCCTTGGCGGTGAGCACTCTCTCTGGATAATTGTCATTTATCCACCCTGCCATTTATCCAGTACTAATCACGACCACAATCCGCCGCAACCGCGAAACCTGGCTCAACCTAAGGAGCAACAACGCTCACTCCTTCAACCTCGTCTTCCGCGTCTCGTTGTTCATCCTCGCGCCTGTAATTGCGACTGGGTCAGTCGTCTTCACTTTCATTTGTGATTTCGCTTGGCTAAACGTACGATGATTTCAGCATCGTGGTTGTCAACTTCCTTCCGCACGATAAAGTCAACATTTCAAAGGTCAATGTGACATATGCGATACGTACGCTTACTCCTTCGCTTTCTGAGGACCAATCGACTCATTCGACCCTGCAGTGCCAGCAACAGCAGGTCTGATATTTAGCAGTCAGCGCGTCAGTGAAACACTGCCAGTTCTCCTTTGCCCTTCCGCTGAACTAGGCTTTCAGGACATCCTAAGTGTCTGGATGTTTTGGCGTTCAAGCTCAGCCTCGAAGCCACCAGAGTACCCACCAACTGCTCGAGTTTGAGGTCGATTTTGCATTTTCATTCTTTACATGGCAATGTAGGTATACAGAAGTGTAGTAGATCCATAAGCATATATGCAGACCAAGGTGAGGAGGAGGAAAAAAAGCCGATGGGAGAGGCAAAAATGGGAAGGAGGGGAGAGATGAGGAAGAAGGAAAGGAAGTGTATAATATTAATTTTGGATTACGCAAATGTTGTGTTTTGTAGCTGTAAATTTGCTTTCCCTGTCAGCGGCTATGGAAGAAGGGAGGATGTTGTGAAGAAAGTAAGTGTCCCCTTCGACCCGTCAAAGCCTGACGTGGTCTTGAGGTGTTAGACGAGTCCGCTGCCCGCCATCTTGACCGTATCTCCTACGACGCGCACAACCTCTCCCCACGCGCGTCTAAAGAGGCCGCCCTCAACACCACCTGATGCTTGCAATCTCCGCCTCACAAGCTCAGCATTGCTTGCCGATGACGACGAGGCAGCCAAAACCGCCGTCGTGCCACCCGCAAACGTGTCCATCCCTATCAGTTTCCTCCTTCTCCTCATCCGCAGGACGAACGATATCAGCGGCACCAGCACGAACAGCACAAGGAACGTCGTCACCCGCGGGCCGGTGAGGTAAGGAGTTAGTGACGCCCGGATGAGCGCGTACGTGCTCGGAGCTGCGGCTGAACGCCCAGACACCTGGTGTGCGAGCTGTGCCTGCGGCAAGTTCGAGTACGCGGAGCTCGTGGAGGAGACGGTGCGGGGTTTTGAGCGAGGGCGGGCCGAACCGTTGCTGTGGCCGTTTGGCACGAGCGATTTGTCTCGGATCCGTGGGGTGGCGGTTTCGTTGGAGGACACGGAGGCGGAGGAGGAGGAGGCTTGGGTTAGGCTTGTTAGGCCTGAGGAGAGGCCGGCGGAGCGGTGCCCGCGAGGTGTCGCAGGGACGACGGTGTGCGTTGAGGTTGTGGATAGTGAGGACGATGAAGAGGAAGAGGAGGAAGGTGCGGGGGAATATGATCGAGGCGAAGAGAGTACTGAGGGTGGCTGAGAATCTGGTGGGGGTTTGAAGGATCGACGAGAGGACATCGTTTGGCTGTAGAGATTGCTTAGAGACTCTTTGAGGTGCTGAAAAGGGGTAGGAGTAAGTATTTGGCTTGGTAATTGGAGAAAAGGGATTCGAGAGGGCGAGCTAAACCGCTGCTGACTTCGTGTCCTAGTGGATACAGTCTTAATTCACAAGAAATAGGCATATTTGTGGCCTAATCTTGTGTGTTCATTGACGACTGTTTCGCGCAGATCGGAAGGGTGCAGCGAGCAGGGGCTTGGCAGCCTCTCGAATGCAGTGTAAAGGGACGCACCTCTCGCCGTTGTACGGGTAGCTCGCTTTCGTACTCCAAGAACTCCTTCGCGTACTCCCACTGCTCCACCTTCGGTAAAATGTGCAGGCAGTAGAGTTCCAGCACCTTCTCATACCCGTTCCCTTCCGCGTCCTCTTGCACATCCAACGAGTAGCGAGGTTCCCTGCGGGCGAGCCAATCCTCGATCATCACGCGGCCGACATCGGGGGCGTCCAGCTTGATACTGGAGTAGACCAAAGTGGTAAGGACAGCGGCAGGGAGGAATGCGGCGTTCACTGTGTTCTTAAAGGTCGTGCCATTGGACGGCGTGAAGAGCGAGAGCGACCGATTGTATATCGACGTGACGAAAGCTTGTGGGGGTTCAGCCAGCGAAGCTCTGAGGGACTCCGGTAACAACTCGCTCGACGCAGCTGGAGTAGCATAGACCGTCGAATCGAAGGTGATCCGTAGGATATCCCATTTCCTGCGGTGTTCGGACAGGGAATCGGGGTTGGTGGTTGGTGGTTTGAGGATTGAAAAGGCAGACTGAATGAGAGAGTAGGTTGTCGGCATGTCTTTCAGCACGAAGGCCCGTGTGGCGCGGCTGTACAGCGAGCGCAATGTCGCGCCTGTCGATGTCTGACCCATTGTGGGTGTCGAACCAAGCGCCACCGCCGGCTGCTTCGACGCTTTTAGGCCCGCCTTAAGCGGGATTTGTGCAGAGAATGGCGGCGTTGTAACTGTCGAGGTCGCCGTTGGCATCGAGGAGCAGTGAAATCAGGAGGCAAGGTATGTAATGAATTGCCGCAGAGCAAGGTCGGCAAAATGCAATTCACATGCACCCGATTGGAGCGCAGGTGCACGTGCCCTCAACATCGTTGCCCACGGAGCCAAGCACCTTCCTTCGTTGTTGGCCACGATGTCCACTGTCCATAATTGCTATCGCCTTATCGCCGTCCTGGCTATTCGAAGTTGTACGAACTCTTCTCCTTGAGCGTTTGCGAATCTCACTCCTTTTCGGCCATCCACAGGATGCATCCCCACTCGGTCTGCCCTCATGACTCGGCTTACCACTCAATTGCCTCGGATTGGCTCTGTCAGAGCTCGAAGCACCCCGGAACTGTCGGTTACAGTACTCTGAAGGTCTCTTGAACGATTGCCTTGCAACGAATGGACTTCGACCTTTATTAGATTTCATGACACACTGTGTCAGTCAGACTACGAAGCGAGCCAACCTTTCTATGTGAGAAAGGTGTCGTTCTTATGTTCTTCCTCATCTCAACTTGATGCGTTCATATTTTATCCAAGACGGCAGGACTCAAGACTGAGTACTGAACTCCCATACTCGCTGACAGGTCACAATTATCGCACGAAGTTGCTAGCATGTTCAGCGACGTCTGCCTCACCTTGCGCCGATGGATCAACATATTCTTCTTTCTTTTGGGAGAATTTCTATCTGTCTGGTTCTGGCCTCTTCTTTGCAGGATACATCCGCCATATGTTGCCACCAACTGGAGAATCCGCTTTCTTGGTGTATCTGTTCGACGGTCTTGTTGCTCCAGCAGCCGCACCAGAGTTTCGAAGTTTCTGGGTTAGTCGACATCTTCCTCTGCTTCGTAGAAGAATGCCCACCTAGCATATTCTGTCCATCATCTTCGAAAGTTCGCTACCGGAATGCTTCCTTTCCTCAGTATTCTCGGGCTGGAGATACACCATGCTTCTCGAGAATTTCGTTCACAACGAAGACAATATGCGTAAGTCCCCTCGGATTCAGCTGATCTTGGGCGCCGACGCCGCAGGGAGACAGTAAAACTCCCATTCAGTACAGTGAACATGGTGGCTGAATTTCAGAGATCATTGGCTCGAGGACAACGTCGGTGGCACGTCGGGTTTTCTTCCTTTCCATTCCTTGTACTTATTTTTCTTCGACGCTTTGACAAGCGATCTGCACTTTCTTACGTCAATTTCAGCTTGTTTCCAGAGCAATGCCCCTGGTGGTATGTGGTATGGTCATTCAATGTCGTGGAGAAATGATCGAGGTGAACCGATCGAACAGAACCCACCTCAAACTCCTAGAATGACAATTGCGTCCCGGTGAATCCAATAGCGCCCAAGTTGTGCCTCATTTTATGGAGTTGGCAGGTGTGTCGAACGGATGACAAGGCCAATGCATTCTGAAGAGAGCATAGCGACGTTGCGGTTGTGTCGCGGAGGTTGACGTTGAGCTGCCGGAGCAATTATCTCTCACTCACTAAGACACATCTTTCATGGTTTCTTCCTTGACATCCCCTCAGCATTAACCAGTCAACGTGAACACGCAGTCAGTCGTTGACAATTTCTGCCATGCAGAGTCTCGGTAATGAGGGGGAAGAGAATAATGCAAAGTCACGCGCCGCGCTCATGAGGATAGGCAGACATTCGGTTGGGTTAGCTTTCAGACAACCTTATTTGCGTCAGGGCCCGAATGGCACGAGAGGCGTTGCTGTTATGTACATAGACTCTGTCAACGTCTTCATTGGCAAATAATCGGACAATTATACTCCCCGCTGGTCCGTGTCGCTCTGGAAGTTCCAGGTTAGGACATCCTGGTTTTGGTGGCTGCGATACACATTGATCCGCCGATACTAGATATCAGAAAACGGTAGCTCAGGGACCGACGCACAGGCCAGGTTTTCGTATATAAAAGCACCCCCAGGACTGCCCACATTCTCCAATCGAAAGCCCACAAGCATCCGATTAACTCAACGAAATCGACTCACAATGCAATTCCGCACTGCTCTTGTTCCTCTCGCTCTCACAGCCCTTGCTGCCGCCACAACGACAGTCACGGTCACCACTCCTTCTGTAGGTGTCGCCCCCATCATCGTCGCGGTCGTGATTGCTTATTATCTCCTTGCCCAAGCCTCCGCTTCCGACCCCGATGGACCCCAATCAATGCGAAACTGGTCCCATTCAGTGCTGCAACTCAGTTCAGGCCGTACGCTTTTCGAGCTTCATCCAAGGGAAGCTTTGCACTTCTGACATACCCTCCACAAGCGAACGCGCCGGGTGGTCTCTTGGGCCTTCCGATTCTTGGCCCGCTCCTCGGCATCCTTGGCTTGGTTATCAATCCCATCAATGCAATAGTTGGCGTCACTTGTAGCCCAATTGACGTGATTGGAATTGGAGGCAATTCTTGCAGCGCTCAGCCCGTCTGCTGCCAGAACAACAGCTTTGTAAGTTTTCCCTGCTCTCCTACGTTGTGCAATATCCCATCAAACTGTTCTGGTAGAACGGGATCATCGCCATTGGCTGCACCCCCGTCAACCTCAATCTTTAATTACTCATCGAAATCTTTCTCGTCGCTCTCAACTCAAGACGTTCTTCAGGCTGCTACTGGTGCCCTACGACTTACGGGTGGCTTGGAGTTCAAAGAGATTGTAATTATAATTTGGTCGTATAAATATGGATGTCTTAACGTGGAAAAAAAATACGAACAGGCGGGGATCATTCGACATCGCTTATATTACATGAGCTCGAATGAGTTTCACCGATCATGGCAGTGTGGCGCACACTTCCCATTTAGGCCAATTCAAGGCACTGTTCCCTAACAGACCCCGCAGACGATTCTGGGATACCTGGGAATTCCCGGCCCCGTACGGTTTTAAACTTCATTCTTGTGGCGCTGCTGTAACCAGTTCAGAGACGACGTGTACTCTCCAGTCTCCAGAACACGCTGAGAAGTGAGTGTCATCGAACAGCCTCAGCTGGAAATAGGTAGTAAAATCCGCCGAATCCTTCAGTATCATCAATGCAGGGCAAAAAACCAACAACAAACGGCGAAATTGAGGTAGTTGTACTCTGGGTTTTCATCAAGGTCTTTGTCGACGCTTCAAGTTGCCGCGACGCTTCATGCATAAGGCTTCGTAAAACCTGTTGCATGGAACGGTGGGAAATTGGACAACCAAGACGCTGAGAAGCCCACTCACCATGCACGCCAAAGATCAGCATAGATGCCGCATTCGAGCGGTCTCTAGGCCTGAGTTCCGGGTCACGAGCCCGTTGTGCAAGCAATCGGAATTCCAGAGGCGTAAGACCGTCGTCGTCGTCCGGTTGTTCTGGAGCATCGGGTTCAAGTTCCATCGAGCCAACGGAGGTCGATGGTTGCCCGAACTGGTGTCCGGTGGGAGCAGGGTTTCCGGTCCCCGATACAGCCTCAATTGGATGAGGTTGTGCGGGAGCCTGCAAGGACAATGAGTCATAGTCATCGAGACGACTGCGAAAACCCCGTGGAACGAAGAATATCTCGTCCATCAGCTCAGAGACGAGGTTAGCAAACATTGTGATGCGTGGGGTTGCAGAGGCTCTGTGGTCCTTCATGAAGGACTGCAGCTTAGCGTTCGCATTTACGACCATTGCGAGGGAGGAGATAGGGGGTGAGGGTCTATTATGAGTCATGGAGCGGGCATCCTGGGCGGTGAAGGGAGGGAAAAAATCGTTCGGATCCGAGGGAGAGACGAGCTGGTCGCTTGATGCGGTCCAATACGTCCACGTTACTTGTGCGTTTTGGGGCGGCGAGGAGGTTTGGGTCTCGAAGTATCGACCTTGAGCGATTGGGAGCGTCTCGCCGTCGGGGAGTAAGCCTCGTGGATGGAGGATAACAACATCCCATTTAGGTCGGTCAAAGGGTGCTACTCCAACCTGTAGATGGCTCGTCAGAGAAAGTGGCCAGGGGGTAGAAACTGCGTACGTCTAGAGGCCGGGCCGGCCTGTCATTGAATTCATTGACTGTCCACTGCTGATTGGAGGTTCGTAGTGCACTGAGCATGGCGCGAGCGTCGTCCACGGCTGGGACAATGCAGAAAGTTCCGTAAACGTCCCACTGGACGTGGTAGGTCGCTTCCACTGTCGTGCACTGAATTGCGTGTCAACGGTTCACAAGAGGGATCTACTCACGAAGAATACCGTTAATGATGCTATCCAAGTCGAAAGTCTGGAAGGACGAATGATGAAGGCGCTGTTGGGTAAGAAGCTCTTCCTGATCACGGTCAATGTGTGTGTGCGTGAATAATCCGAGGCACTCACGACGTTCGCTTTGCGCCGATCGTCCTCCCGAACGGTGTTGATTATATGCGCCGCCTGCATATCGACGCGGCGAGAACCTGTCAGGAACGACCGCTGGTCGCAAGCTAGAAGGCGATAACGGAGGATCTTGTGTTCTTGGGTTCGCGGTGGGAGGACTGGCTGTCGCCTCCTGCGGTGGATGGCGGTACCAGTCCAGGTGCCAGGTTGGGGACAGGGGGAAGTTGCTTGGAAGCCGGAATCGTTATACGCCATTGCTTTCCGTAGGCGCCAGCTTCCCGACGGGCGTTAGCCATATCAGACTGCAATACATAAAGCTCAGTGCTGATCAAGAGGTGCAGAGAGTTTGGGAATTGGAAACACCGCGCACGAGACCGACGCACTGTGCGGCAACTTCCGTCACCACATATGGGATCTACCGATCATGCCACTACCACCTTAACCCTCCCGCCCCGCATCTCCTAGCACCGAGTGAGCCTGCGCCGCTCTATCCCGCCTTCTCTAAAGCTCTTGAAGCTCTTATGGTGCCGGACTCAACACCTGCGTTCGTTGCCTAGGACAGTCAAGCACGTAGCGATACCCGCCCTATTGCGACCCAACGACACATAGGTAGACACCCGCGCCGCTGCTCCCTTCCGTGTACATGAAAATGTTATTCTTTCATCAAATTTCCAAAGTCCCTGGTGCATCGCGCCTTCGAGCTTGCAACTACGCCGTATTTCTCAACCTTCCGCTGCTCGTCCAACAGACTACTTGAGCTCGATCCGTCGAGATTCCCCTCTGTCTTGTGATCGCAAACACATGAACCAGGATTGGCCATGCCTCCCGCTCCACCCCGACTATTCTGTCCAGGCTCGCTCCCTGCCTGCTTCTGCAAACCTGCTCTTTCGATCTGCCACATGGTAAGAGAGATCTGTACCCCCGAATTCCATTAAATAATCGTTTAGTCGGTCTGATCTTCGGGTCCTTAGAGCTTCGCGGCGTACCCTGAGCTGCTGGACGATCGCGATGTCGGGTAACTGGCCCTTGGCGCGGCCTCTTGCCTCTTTCGGTCAAGCGAAGCTTCGAATCAAGGCGACTGGCAGCACGAAAAGGCGCGCTTTCGACGCTGGTTTCTCGGCTCTTTACGCTACTGTCGTCGAGCATGGCCAGCTTGGTTGACAGATGCGAGGGGAACAATTGATGTTCGCTTATGGCCTTGCCTCAGCCCTCTTTGTTCGGGTCCCTGGGGTACCAACCCTGGCTCTCGCTGACATAAGCCACAAACTCGGCCTTTTCCCATCTTTGGAAGTAGTGCGCGAGCGTCAACAGAGCGTCAATGTCGGGCGCCTGCGCACACCTCTTCCGAGTGAGGGGTAAAGCCATTATATAAACTTGGCTCCGTAAATATAAGAAGTGCCAAAAATAATTACTCGGTCAATGATATTCTCAGCGACCGTTGAATAGTGGCATACCTGAGATACCAGGGAATGCAGTGGCGGTCAAGCACACACAGAGTTGGGCGGCGCTAAACTTTGTGATAGATATTTCATCCCTCGCAGCTAACAACACATTGTGTGCTTACTCCGTCAGATTTTATCGACACTTTCCGCCACCGGTCAACTGAGTGCTGAGGCGCAATGACATTTCCTCACATGCTTGACTGGCTTATCATTACTTCGACCATACCTGTGGTTGATAAAGAAAATATAATAATAAACAGTGCTAGGGGACAAAAAAGTGAAATAGGAAACTCAGCCAAAATACCTTTACTTATGGGAAGCAGCCAGCATTGCGAACTACCATGGACTCATGACAAGGAGCCGACATTCATCCACCCTGAAGTTAGCGCACGATCTCTCATGACATCATCCCGCCCTTCCTCTGGACAGCGGCGCCGACACACTAAAATTGTCCCTGACTGATTGCCGGGCAAGTCCCCGCCCCAGCCATAGGACAGGCTGGCTAGAATACATTGGATCCTCTGCAAACTTTCGGATATTCACCTTCTGAAAGTGTGTGCCATGGCACGTAATTTTTTGGCAAGAAACAAGCGCGGGATAGCCCGAAACGGGACTACAGACCCCAGGTACCCACTCCGTCACAATTGATGGCAGGACCGAATAAGCGAAATGACAAGACGTCCATCACAACTGACTTTGGCAAACGAAGCTGGCCATGCTCGACGACAGTATACGCGTATCGTCCTGCTGAAAGGTCATGCGCATCAGTAGGAGTTCTAGATCCATCAGGGGGTGCAGAGAAAGTAACTTGAAGGCGCCTCTCTCCTAACCCTTTCAACTCGTTTTCGGGAGATAACTATTTCTTGCGTCCTGCTCCCTGGCACCCCCCACGAGCATATTTCTGGTCAAGTAGCCAAAGCACCCCAGGCTCATCTATCCGAATTCCGTAACGACATGCCACTTCGATTCCGGGGTATCTGGGCAACATACGGCACCGTACTACGGCCTTGTAGTTCATTCCTGTGGCGCTGCTGTAACCAGTTTAGGGACAACGTGTACTCTCAAGTCTCCAGAACACGCCCCAAGAATGTCGTCGAACAGCCTCAGCTGGAGATAGGCAGTAAAATCATAACGTTGTTGACCGAACAAATTACAGCAGGCGCTGTTCAACGAGGCCATAGACGCGCAATTGAGCTTGCTGTAAGTGTACCGCGCTGCGTTCCAGCCGTCCAAAAAAAAACCGTTATCGGTGCTCTGAACGCGCGCCAATTGTGAATGCGGCGCTCTGACTCGGATCCACCGAGAGATACGGTTCACCTTGCGCAGTCTTCACGATAATGAAATGTACTACAGATAGCCAGAAATAAACGCCTTGTATGTCCGTCGAAGACGATATCTGAAGAGTCAACTTGAAAGATAGGGGCACCCTTCCTTTTTGGACTGCGACCGACCCTTATGTTCATCATCACGTTCCACGACCAAGCGCTTTTGTCTAGGCACATTTTCCGACGACGACCAGCAGCCAGCCAGCCTCTCTGCTCTATGACACATACCTAACCGATTTCCACCAGAAGGAAAAGAAGAGATAAATTCTTTTTTCCTGACGTGTCATACATAATCAGTTCCTCCGTCAAAGTGGTGATCAGACTCTGAGAACCCACCAACGTGTTATCCATGAGGTAGGCCCACGCTCAAATGAAGGCAAAGAGACCAACTTACACAGAACATGTGTAGGTAAAACATGGTTCTTTGACACCGCCCTTTCCTGTATCGGAGGGCTGCGCTTTGTCGTATCTACGCGCCCGATTTGCCTCGTTGTCAATCTCGTTGGGGTTTAAATAACCTCGTCCTTTCCGACTCCCATGTCTCATCGCGCTCCTTTGATTCTTCCACTTCTCGGCTTTTCAAGCTTTAACCCTCATACCTGAAGTCTCCTACGCGCCCCACCCTCTACGTCTCCCCAACGCAACAAAAACATGGAAGCTCATGAAGTGCTCGGTGTCCCAAAGGACGCCTCAGAGGAACAGTTTCGAAGAGCATACAAGGCTCTCGTACGCGTCATTCTATCTCTCCTACATCTCAGACGTTGACCTCCTCTAACGTTAGGCAAGAAAATGGCATCCTGACCGCCAGCTAGACAATAGCGAAGAAGCAACCGCAAAATTCGTCGAGGTATGTCCCATTATCGGCTCATATCCTGTTCCCGTTCTCAATCCCTATCGAAAGATCAACAAAGCCTACAAGACAATGGCCCGCAATCTACGACGCGCCCGCCGAGCAGCAGAAGGTGCTCCCTCAACCACCAATACTCCCGAGAGCTCCGTCTCTGGCTCGCCCCCGGCTACACCAGAATCTTTCTCCTCCAGTCTACCTGAAGAATCGACGCGTTCTTCGACATCTCGGCCGAACAGCCCCACCCCAAACCCTAGGACTTCCCAATTCACGTCACCTTATTCCTCAACAAGCTCAGAGCACCCTTCTCCCTCGTCCTCCTTCCCAGGCGATAGCAACGCCGGTCCGCAAGAGCGAGGGCGATCTTCCTCTCGCAGCAACGTTCATCTGCCAGAGGACCCTTCATCAGCGGACATGCCACACCACTACGATAATTATAACCACTCTGCAGCTGGATCATCCTCATCTTCGCCGTCGTCCTCGCACAAGCCTCCTCGCACAAGATTACGCAAACAGTCGAAAGTGAGGAACTGCAGGCCCGATCCCGTCACAGGCGACTACACCCCAAAAGCATCGCGGCGGCCACCACCCGCATCAGCCTCAGCGTCGGCAGAATCCTTTCACGTAGAGCACGACCGCGACCCTGACCTCGTGGTGGGCGAGACCCTGTATCCCGTCCGCTCGATCTTACGTGGTGCCGGTGCCGACGCACCAAAGCGGTGGGTGCACGTCCTGAACATGACCCTCGAGGAGATCTACCTGGGCAAGACGTTCCATTTCCGGGTCGTGCGCTACAGGCGCAACGGGAAGAAGAGCGTCGTGCCGCTGGAGGTGCATGTGCCGCCTGGGAGTCGGGGAGGGACCGAGATCGTCGTCGAGGATGCGGGTAACGAGCGGAAGGACGGTTCGTGGCAGGCGGTGGTATTCCAGGTCAAGGAGGTGAAGCACGAGAGGTTCCGCCGCGTGCACGATGACTTGCTCTTGGAGGTCCGCCTGCCGTGGGTTGATAGTCTGAACGACGAGGTCGGCGAGGTGTACCTCCAAGGCGTCGATGGGGTGGACCATGTGTTCAAGGTCGACTATCGCCGCCATCATCTTCTGAGTGGGACGACTGTCATTCCTGATGCGGGGATGCCATCACGCAGCGGTGTTGGACGAGGACGGATTGTCGTTCGGTAAGCTTTTGCGTTCATTCATTCGTCGCCTTTGCTAATCCCTATGTCCGTCCAGATGGGAAATCTCCTCGCCTTCGTCCTCCTGGGGCGCTCTCAAGCATGTGTTGAGGTTCAAAGGTTGAATGCAGGCACCGAACGGGAGAGGGATGGCGAAAAATAAGCTACAATTGCATCGGCTAGTCCGATTAATCGATCCCTAGGGCTTCTTTATCTTTGCATGGGTAATTGGTTGAAATATGGGTCATATGGTGTCATTAATGAAGATAGAAAATGATATTAGTGCATGATAATACCCTCGACCGCCCTGCAGTCGATTAATGAAGGATTTCTCGAGTCTCAATGCAATGGTCCAGTCGACGGCTCGAATTCCCTCATTGCACGATGCAATCGTTCCTGGCACGCCGATGAGCTCTCCACATTTCTTCCTGGATACGTCTCTGGAGCTCTTCCCTTTCTCTCTCTGCTCGCTCAGCAGCTTCCTGGGCTTGCCTTGCGAGCTGCTGACGCTGACGCTCTTGCTCCTCCGCTGCCCGTTGTGCTGCCTCCCGGGCCAATCGTTGTTGTTCTTGCAGCTGCCGTGCGGCTTCTTGCCTTTGTCGCTCTGCCTCCTCTGCGACTCGCCTCGCCTCAGCCGCGGCTCGTGCCATTTCTTCTTGGCGCCTCCTCGCCTCCGCTTCTAACCTACGACGATTTTCTTCTTGCTGTCTTCTGAGAGCCTCTGCATATGACAGAATTAGCTCAAGCATATGCGACTCGTACAGACGACATGCCTTCCATTTCTCGCTTGCTCCTTTCCAGTTCCTCCTGATGGCGTCTCTCAGCCTCTTTAGCTGCCTCATCCTTGCAAGCATCCGCTGCAGATGTCTGTTCCAAGCTCTTATGTTCGATGACCAGCTCTCTCTGGAGGTCAAGAACGACCGACCCGGCATGGTTGCTAACGATATGCCTCAGCACCTCGTGCGCAGAATCGCGCGTACCGTAGTGTCTCAGCATCTTTGCGCCTGCGTCCAACACAGGCTTGAAGCAGAGCTCCTCAGTCGCCAACTCCCTTTCGCGTGCCTCGGCGATCGATGCGTTGACCGACCCCCACATGTTTGTCATGACGACAACGTTCTTCAGGGTGCGCTCGCCGCAGATCTTGCGAAACATCTTGAAGTTCTTGCGCGACACGCCACTCATGCGGACGTCGGAGATGCGGTGGATGTATATGACGCCCGCGAGCGTCTTCCCTTCCTTGTACCTGCGGTGGCAATAAAGTAAGCGCCCATTACCATATCGGGACTATCCGGACACAGTACGCACGCCGAAGTCAAATAATCTGCGATGGTCCTCAGAATATCAAGATCAGTGCGCGTTGTGTCATCAAATCCTGGAGTATCGACCAGCCGTACTGGATGACCATCGAGTTGAAAGGTGCCCGTCATGCAGGCATGCTCTGTGGTCGATCCAAGACCTTGACCGACGAGGAAATTGCTACCACTGGCGACGTTGACGAACTAAATGATGGCATTTAGACTCAGAAAAATAATAATATAAAACCCGTGTCTCACAGTTGTTTTTCCGCTGCCGGTAGGCCCCATGACTCTGTTATGGTCGTCAGTGAAGACACAAACTGAAGAGCCGATGGAACGTTGGCCGAACTCACGCAACAACGAGCTCCCCTGTGTCCATGTTCGCGAAATTTATGGGAGATTGAGCTTTCGTGAAGTCAACCTTGGGGACTAGGCTGGCTGCTGTATGGCGCTCTCTCCCCTCTGCCTTTATGCGACCTCACCTCTTGGTTCACATTAACCGCAGTGCAGGGGCATGGAATCCTCAAGGCCGTGACCAATGAATCACAGAACAAAGTACACCCTTCACAGTCGTACATGCACATAAATGAAGTGAAAACCGAGGACGACTATCACCTTCGTGCATGCTGGGGAGTCGAAGCGCGGTCATATTTAGCGCCGGTGACAAGAAGTAGCCAGGGGTGCTTCTGACTGGAAATCAACGGGGAGCAAGGCAGGATCGGTGGAACTCTGGCAGAGCTTGACGAAGATCGCTGCGACTCTTGTGAATTACTTCTTGGGTACAGTACTCCCATGATGATGGGTAACAACTTTCACTGCACCGTGCAGCAGCAAGTTCGCTTGGAGTTGTTTAAACTCTTCCTCCCGCGCACGTTAGGCCACATCTTCCCCATCGGCTGCATATCCCTTCTGCGCTTCTCCATTTCTTCTTTCATTTCCAGAGTACGTCGAATATACTCTTCCCTCTGTTCTTGGATTAAACGCTCTGCTTCTTTCCTTCGTTGTCTCTCTCGCCCCCGCTGTTCTTCAAGTTGGATTAACCATTCTGTCTGTTGCCTCTCTTGTCTTTCTCGTTCAAAATTCTCTGCCATTAGTTGTGCTCTTGCCCTGACTAATCGTTGGGATTGATTCTCGAACGTCAACGCGCGCATAGACGAGCATAGGAAACGCATACCTTCTGTCAATCTCTTCTCCGCCTGCACTTTGCTCTTGACTGCGGCATCCTCATCTCTGGAGACGCCTCGATCCACGTTACTTAAATCGAGTATAGTGATGTATGTCCAGACGTACGAAGGCATGATTCTTTCTTCGTGCACAGCAGAAACCAGGGTACTGACTCTTGGAAATCTGGTAACTCGAGATGAGAGCAACTTGTTGGCGAATGATGATAGTAGGATCTTTGGTTCATATATCCTTTTACCCAGCCGTATCCACAGCCGAACCAAGAACGTGTCTTCCGCAAGGTACTTGTCAGCGACTGCGAAGCAGTGGCAAACAAGTACACCTTCGAGCGAGGCATGAAACCTTATACACATTCGCGAAACTAATCACAATTGACTTCTTATCAATCCTCTTCAGACTTCGCCGGCGCCATCTTTAGCGCCGGTGCATCACAAGACAAGTCGAGAAAGGAATGGCATCGGTTTATTCATAAAAATAGCTGAGACGTGCTAAGGAGCGTGAACTGATATTTAATACCAGATAGAAGAACGAAGGTGAAGAGGAAGGCGGCGTTAAGCACGCAAAAAAGGTCAGAACCTTAGAGAACGAGGTTAGCAAAGCGCACAACGTGAAGGCAGCAGAAACGTACTTGGCATACGTATAGGAAGATCCATACTGCCGAGTGTGGTTCTGGACAGAAAGGGATGATTGTTGGGAAGGAGCGGTGGTTCTGCGAGAGGCTGATGAAGGCAGTGGTCGGGGCTGCCGAGAAACATTGTGACAATGGTGCACTACCCTATCGGCGGGATAGTGCTGCCGCACGGAGCGTGGGTGAAGTGGCCTGTGGACAGGCGAACCAGCCGGTGCAGAGGGCGCAGGAGACGGAGGAAGTCGGGGTGCAGAAGGGCGCCGTTTCGGACGCTGGCTGAGACCGGGCGTCGGCGGAAGGCTCTTCGTTGACAGGCACTGCGTCGAGGGCTCGTAAGCGACCTTCAGGCCATATGTGGCGGCCGGGACAACCTTAGCCTCAGCCATAGCTTGCTGCAACTCGATCAGCCGTTGCCGGTGAGCCTCGAGAGCCTTCTGCGCCTTGAATCTGACGTCTGAGGCGCGTCGCGTCAGGAAGACGTGGTTCTTGACCATGGTGCGGGCCATGGAGCCGGTCACAAAGTAGGTTCCTTGGCACTCAAATCCGCGGAAGCCACCTTGGCAGTTGTACCTCCCTTCGGCTGCTTGAGGTGGGTTGGGAAAGAGACAAGTTGGTACGTCGCATTTGTTGTGGAGGGAGGAGGGCCAGTTCGGCGGCAAGTGGACCGTGGGCTTCTTCTCTTTCTTGGAGAAGCGGAAAACTTTACCTGGAATGGGGTCGAAGGGTATAAGCTGCCGTCAAGGCATAGAAAAAAGGTTACTCACTAAAGCCAAACATGGTGAATAGGCAGAGAAGAGGGCAGGAGAAGATAAGTGTTAGGACTGTGTCGAACAATCAAGATGAATTTATAGGTCGTGAGGCCTGAGGACTGAGGCGTTAAGGAACGTGTGGCTCCTGAAAATAATGGGAGCGTCGTGGGCCACTCCGCCACTTTTATATGAGACAGCAAAATGGTGGCAGAAAAAGCGGCCACAATTTCACCCAGGCCCACCGCAATGGACAAAGCTGAGAGACAAAGCAAGGATTAGCGGCCTCCCAACTCTCCTTGTCGCGACAAAGGATCATTCCCGAGGTTCTATGAGCACCTCGTACTTGTTTTCGTTCTCCAAAGGTCATTTAAGAGCTTCAAGGAAGTACATGAAGCACAACACCTCGACGAAAAGCAGGCAAGAATGCAAAGAATGCTGAGGCCGCTATTAGTAGCCGAACTTGCGAAAATCGCTGCGGAGTGGAATTCCTTTCGGAACCAAAAGAACAATGAGAGAAAGCCGACTAGTTTGACCGTAATTGGTGCGTTTCACCAGATGTCCAGACCGCGCGAGCATGCTGAGAATTCGAGGTGGCTTGGTCGACAGTGACTAGTGAAGACGGACTGGTGCACGTTTTGCACATGCCAAGACGATACACAAGGGTACTGGACACAAGTTAGATCCAGAGTGGCTAGCTTTTGCTTGAACAATTGAGCTGATTCTATTTCTTGGCTTGCAGCTGGGAGACTCTGGGAGAGTACACTACGGGCATTTGCGCATAAAAGCGGTGTCGAAATTGCAATCTCAAATTAGAAATAACATTGTCCCCAAAAGCGGTCGCTAAATTTCAAATTTCTTCGAGCTCACAGTATGCAAGAAAACCTGCCTTTTTAGACACCGCAATTATTTCAAATTCTATCCTCATGTTCTCGTCGAGGAGATGGTGAAGAGTCCAAGTACCCAGAGATAGGAAAAGCTCCTTTAACAGTGGTCACAGGTCCTCAAGACCATTAATTCGGGGCGGAACAACCAAAAATTGGGTAGAATTGACCAATCAAATTGCTGGATTGAGCTCTCTCTTTCGGTGAAAAACCTTACTGGGGAAAATCAATGACATGTCCTTGGCAGCTGCCTGTCAACTTTTGAAATAAAATCCATAAGTGGCGCCAAGGTGACATTTGAAATAAAAGCGCTGCAGAAAATACAGTCGATATCGCAGATCTTATTTCGAATTCCATCGAGATTTTCTTGGCGAAGTCACTGGGACTAAATTTCAAATAAAATCAGCATAAAATCAAAATATCACCGTCGATTGTATGCGCAAATGCCCGCAGTGAGTAATGATTATGGAGAGGACTGATGTCGTCGTGACTGGCCAGCCAACAGTTCTTGAGGCGGCACGGGAGATGCCGATAACTCTTTCGAGTCACCTTCAACAAGACTCCAGAGCTCCATGGCTAAGGAATTCTGTCGCGATTCGTTCTAAAGGTCGTTTTCTCTTCTCATAATCTGTTCTCAAATTCTCAGATGGATTTATCTAAGATGTAGGACAATTCGGGCTTTCTACGCTGATGGCGGACAAACCACGTCAAAGGCGAAAGATGTTATCCAGGAAACCTCCTACTGCACCGAAAAGACCTCCCCTGCGCTTTCGACCCGCTCTCTGTACTTCGACCAGACGGAACTTAAGTGCGGAGATTTGCGCTGCAGAGTTTGATGTCGTATCGTTCAAGTGCTTTTGGAGAACCTCCATCTGCTCGTTGTGCTTCTGAGCCGCTTGCTGGGTGTTGAGCTGCGACTGCTCGATAAATTGGTGCATGCGTGTCTCCATCTGTTCTTTCTCTGCCTTGTATTGGGACACGAGACCTGCGGCGTCTGACTGGACACGGTTCATTTCTGCCTGAAGTTTCTTTGTTTCGATTTCGAGTTCCCTTTTGGTTTCTTCGTCCTTGGTCCTGATTGCCTCTACAGAAAGACCAAACCAGTCAACCCGAAGCCTTTTAGAGATTATTGGAAAACCAACCTTCCAAGTCCTCCTGAAGTTCTCGCATCTCTTTCTTGTGCTTCTCCATCAGCCGCATGAGCTCCTTGTTGAGCTCTGCTCCTGCGGCTGTCTGCGAGATGTCCTTGTGCTCATCTACCAGCTCGCGCTGGATTTGAAGAGAGAGAGGGTGATTGTCGATGATGTGGCGAAGTATTAGGTGCGCCGACTCCTCCGTGTTCTCGTGGCGCAGCAACTGAGCGCCTTTCTGAAGGACTGGCTGAAAGAATACATCTCGGGAGGCCAGCTCGGCTTCACGGGCCTCGCCAATCTCGCGACTGACTTCGCCCCACATGTTGGTGACAATGACGACGTTCTCGAGAGTAGATTCTCCGCAGAGCTCTCGGAACATCCTGAAATTGCGGGTGGAGATGCCTCCCATCCTGAAATCGGAGATGCGATGGATGTAAATGACACCGGCTAGTTTCTTGCCGTTCTCGTACCTGGCCAACAATCTTGAATACTCATTACAGATTGCGAGGACCATGCACTTACGTTGTGGCGAGGAAAAGACCGATCATGCGAAGAATGTCGGCGTCGCTCTTGGTGGTGTCGTCGAATCCCGGTGTGTCGATCAAAGTCACCGTTCGTCCTTCCAGCCCGAATGGTTCCGCGACTTGAACTACATTGGTGCAAGACATCAAGCCTCTTCCGACTCGAAGGCTGGAGCCGCTAGCTAGATTGATGAACTGTAAATTGCTCATTAAATTTAAAGGTAACCGCTCAACACACGCAGCCTGGTACGTACAGTTGTCTTTCCACTTCCTGTCGCTCCCATCACACTAATCAGAAAGATCGTCAGGTCGGCCCCGACAGCTCATGCACAAACGTACGCGATAGCAACATCGGAATCGTCCTCGACGAGTGACTTTAACGCAAATCAGGTATCTGAACTGCGCAGACCAGTACGCACTTACATGGGCACGTTGGGTCGTTGAACTGGACCAGGATCTATTCGAACGGTCCTCATCAGTTGCACCGCTGAAGGCAATGCAACGAACACGTACGAGATCTGGACAGTCTGTCCTTCCGGCAGCTGGTGGATAGAGACGACTCTAGGGTCGGGTCTGGGGGCAGAGACGACTGTGTTGTACCGCATACTGACTTGGTGAGGGTCTCTTCGCTCAGTTCAGATATATATAAGAACGAGATGACTTATATCTGTCTTGCAGTCACCTCAAGACGGTTTCACACCCAACAGATCAGCACAACCCCGAATACAGATCAACGTGCTTGTGCAGTATCCTGTCTTGCGGTTCTCGTTCATTCCACTCGGCGGACCAGCTCAGATCCTTCTCCAATCTTTCGGAACCTTCACAGAATGCTTCTTGATCGCCGTTTGGTTTGCGTACTTGGGTGAGTAACGCCAGCGTCTAATAATCGGGATACTTGCGACAACCTTAGGGCTCATACCGTAATACAACCTTCCTATCGCAGTCTTACCTCTGCGAAAGCACTCCAGTTCTATATGTACATGCCTCACCCTTCGATCGCTCACTTCGCACTATCGAAATGAGGCCACAATAGTTTACTGCACTATGCAGATGAGGCTATCCCTTTCCGCCTGCCTCCGCCGTGCCTCCTCTATCCTCCGCTGAAGCTCTCGCCTTTCACGTTCGGCTCTCTCAGCGGCACACTTTACTTCCCATTCGAGCTCCTTGCGCCGACGCTCGTGCTCCTCCCAAGCACGTCGCGCCTGTTCTCGTGCCCTCTCCTCTTCCTCTCGAATACGCCTCTCTTGCTCCTCTCGTTGGCGTCTGATCTCCTCCGCGATACGCCGCGCTTCTGCTTCGACCCTTTCTGCCTCTTCGCGGCGTTTACGAGTCTCTTCTTCGATTCTTCGCCTGTCTTCCTCCTCCTTTCTCTTTAAAGCCTCTGCAAGACATAGCATAAGGATTAAATTCAAATAGACGTATTTGATTCGTACCTTCCATTTCTCTCTGAATTCTCTGCATCTCTTCTTGGTGACGCCGCTCAGCTTCTTTGGCCATTTCGTCTATACATGCATCTCCGGCTCCAGTCTTCTCCAGGTCTTTGTGCTCATCTACCAGCTCCTTCTGAATGTCCAAAACGACGGGCCCACCGTGGTTTGCAAGAATATGCCTCAGTACATCGTGCGCAGACTCGCGGGTGCCGGCATGCCTAAGCATCTTTGCACCAGCCTCAAGGACGGGCTTGAAGCACAGTTCTTCGTTTGCCAGTTCCGCTTCACGAGCTTCTGCGATGGATCGTTCGATCGACCCCCACATGTTGGTCATGATGACCACGTTTTTCAAAGTGCTCTCGCCGCACACTTTGCGGAACATCCTGAAGTTCTTGCGTGAAATGCCGCTCATGCGCGTGTCGGTGATGCGGTGGATGTAGATGACCCCGGAGAGGGTCTTCCCTACTTTGTATCTGGGTCGACGGAAGGTAAGTGCCAGTGACTTGTTGGGCAGTATCTCCTTACGCTGATGTCAAGTAGTCGGCTATTGTCTTCAGAATGTCGAAGTCTGAACGCGTCGTATCGTCGAAACCGGGTGTGTCCACGAGTCGTACTGGACGGTCATCCACTCGGAACGTGTTGGTCATCTTGACATCCTCTGTGCACGACTGCAAGCCTTGGCCAACGACGAAGTCGCTCTCACTCGCGGTATTGATGAACTAGGACATGTCAAAATACGAAGTTTAGCAGCACTAAATCAGGAGGACAAGCACTCACTGAGGTCTTGCCACTACCAGTTGCCCCCATGATTCTGATGCGTAGGTTAGATCATTCCTATTGCTTTTACTGGACGGATTTTTTTCACTTACGCTATTGTGAAGTCTAATTCATCCATAGTTGGGCTCTGTATGCGAATGAGCGGAAGGCAATGGTGGAGGGGAGTTGAACGAAGGGTAGCTACAACCCTTCGTTTATATTTCCGTGTACCCATGCACAGCACTCATACAGCATGTCATCCGCAAGGTCCCCGCACACCAAGCACAGGTTGCACAGGTTTGACTTCGGCAGAACAGCCCTCCGACCATGCTATCTGATAAGCGCCTGTGGAAACAAAAGAATTGAGCCTGCACGTGGGCGTTATAAGCACTCTCTCCAGCTGAAGGCAAAATTGTAGACGTTTTTTAAAAAAACCCACAGCTGCGCCAATACTTACAGTAAGCATCCTCGTTAGGCAGGATGATGATGGGGCTTGCTATTCGCGGTCGTGGTCGGTGGGGCCTGTGAGGTTTCTCGTCGCTAACCTGCCCTTTTGGGGTGGGATGGGAAAAGTCGCTCCTCTATTTTCAGGACACAGTGAGTGGGGTGACTCACACGTATCCAGCGGTTGACGTCAGCAGAGGCGCACATGTGGAGATTTGGAGAAACGTCTACATTTTTGCCGTTAGCTGTCAGCATTCTTGAATTTCTTCCATGAAAGTCAGCTTTCGGTCTTCAGTTATGAGGCACTCTCCGTGCATGTCATTTATTCGCGCCATAATACACAATTCCGTTCTGATCCATTGATATTCTAGGCGGCCTTGTCAACGACTTTCTAAGCGAACTGACTCGCTAATCGGCGGAAAATATGAGCACATGATTAGTGGATACCGAATATGCTATCGATAGCACGTCCGAGCTTCGTAAAGAAACCTCCAGACGACTTTGCCCCAGCTCTCTGCAGTTCTTCCAATCGGGCCTCGAGTCTGGCCCTCTCAGAAGAGGAAGACGACGAGGTGTCCTCCAGCTGCTTCCGCAGGCTGAGCAGCTCGCGATTGTGTCCCTCAGCCGCTCTCTCCTGGTCACGGCGGGCTTGCTCTGTAAGCTCGCTCATGCGCTGCTCCATGCGCACCTTGTCTTGGCTATATTCGGACTTGAGTTTCTCGGCGTCAGACTGGACGCGGTTCATTTCTGCTTGGAGCTTCTTCGTTTCTATCTCGAGCTCGCGTCTGTATTCTTCGTCTTTGCTGTTGATCGCCTCTGTTGAAAAGATAAGCGAATCACTTTATCTCCGAGTAATTGTGAGTTACCTTTCATCTCTTCCTGGAGCTGTTTCATCTCCTTCTCGTGCTTCTGGATCTGCAGCATGAGCTCCCTGTTGAGCTCGGCTCCAGCGGCTGTCTGGGAAATATCCTTCTTTTGATCCACCAGCTCGCGCTGAATCTGAAGCGTCAGGGGATGATTTTCGATGATGTGTCGAAGAATGAGATGCGCCGACTCTTGCGTATGTTCGTGGCGCAACATTATCGCGCCTTTCTGAAGTACTGGCTGGAAGAATATATCTTCACTAGCGAGTTCGGCCTCGCGGGCCTCGCCGACGTCCTGGCTGACTTGACCCCACATATTGGTGACGATGGCGACGTTCTTGAGGGTGGAATCTCCACAGAGCTCTCTAAACATCTTGAAATTTCGAGTGGAGATTCCCCCCATTCTGAAGTCGGAGATACGATGTATATAGATGACCCCCGCCAATTTCTTGCCGTTTTGGTACCTAAAAGGCAGCTTTCAGCGAGAAGGTATGAATAAGAGAATTTTACCGGTTCGCTGACGTTGCTGCGAGGAAAAGGCCAATCATCCGGAGAATATCGGCATCGCTCCTAGTCGTGTCGTCGAATCCAGGAGTATCGATGAGAGTAACAGTCCTTCCTTCCAGCAAGAATGGCTCTGCGACTTGAACCACGCTCGTGCAAGACTTCAGCCCCCTTCCGATTCGAAGATCAGAGCCGCTAGCCTGGTTGATGAACTGGGATTTATTTTTATTATGGGCTGTAATAAGTTGGATAGGCTACGGCTTACAGTCGTCTTTCCGCTTCCTGTCGCCCCCATCACGCTGATCATGAAGATCGTCAGAACAGTTCATAGGTCTATTAGCCGACAACGCACGCAATAACGACATCAGAATCGCCCTCAATCACAGCCTTTCGAATTGAAAACCCCGCGTCAGCGACCTGAGACGTTCGTATTACGCGTTTAGTGTACTCACTTCTGCACTAGCTGACGTAGACTGGGTCCACAAGCTGCGGTATTAGATCGTTTTAGAACCGGGGTCGTCCACAGAGCAAGAGAAAGTCACCCACGCAGCCTGAGGACTCCGTCCGTTGGTGTGATTAATCGCGACTTGGTGAGATGGGTAGGACATCTTAGTGAGGCGTGCGCGTGAGAATTATTTATCACAGAATGTTGAGGGTTTTATATACCTCGAGGTGGCCTCACGTACTCACAGATCGTCACGCCGCAGCTGTGAAGCACCATGCATCAATCCTCACGCCACAGAACACAGGTGCACTGCTGTGCCGTGCCGTAAACGCCGCCGAAATCGATGCACATCATACACATCCTATTCAAGGTAGATGTATTGTGAAGGACGGCCCTCAAGAATATGGAGCGGCTCCACTTAGTATGCAGTAATCAAGGCTGTTAAATAAAGTTAGATTCGTCTTCACTCTTTCCGATGTCCAGTCTTTCAAGGCGACGAAGTGATGGGCTAAGCAACTTTAAAGAACGCAGAATGCAGACCAGGTGTAATTGTCATGTGTATTGAGTTGAATCTATCACCAAAAAAAAGTCTCGAAATCCATCCCCTTGTCAGCTGGCATTAGGCGCCCAAGCAGCCCCTATCCGTCCCATCAAGAGGTATTTGATTTTGATGTGATGGCCAAACAATCGACGCCTTGCCCCCGCATCAGCTGGTTGAACGAAACCGACATCTAAATCCTCTTATCCGAATCGTGGGTTCTGACGCCGCGATGCTCTATTCGGCTTGAAGCACTAAGGACGAATGTGAATGTTCTTTCGATCCTAACGTCACTTGTTTACCTTCACTCGTCACCAACTCGTCACTATGGATCGGTCGGTGGCCTCGCGTAAACGAAACATTTCCAGCGTGGCCGACGGTGCTGGGGGCGAGCACACAGGCAAAGAATCCGGTGGAAAGCGTCAGAACATCGACGGACCCAATCTCAGCGGCACAGAGCACCGATCGAACAGTGTCCTTGCGGACAACGGAGGGATCGCGTCGCAGACATCCAAACAGGCTGCAGAGCCCACTTTTCTGGCCTATCCGGACCTCGCGAACTCCAAACCCAGCCAGGTCCCCTTCCAGCAGCCCTCCCAGCTCATCACGTTCTCGTACACCCCCGAACACGTGCAGGAGTTCACCGACTCCGCCTTGCGGTACTTCGCCGACCCGCCGCTTGGAGCGAGCCTCGCATATGGATATGAACTGTGGAACAGGAAACCAGACACACGAAGGAGGATCGACGCGCTCTTGCAGGCGGTGTCGAGGGTGAGGAAGGACCCGGCTCGGCCGCTGCCCGAGATTGGGGTGGTTTCGTGGAGGGGTGTCATGACCAAGTGAGTAGGTGGCTTGTGCTCGTGGCTCGTTCGCTTATGGCAGGGTTGTTGACGCTCTTGTTCGAGGAAGGATCTTGACTGCGCCGTATGAAAACCGTGAGGGCTGGGATCTCAATGTGATGTACCACAATGGGACGCTATACCTCGAGGAGCACGCCTCAGAGGAACGTCTGAACGAGAAGTGCGTCTTTGTTATATCAACGCGTGTTTTGGTGCGCAGAGTGTGCTAATGTCTTATCTAGAAACAACATGAATGCTAGACAGCGGTCTCAGACGTACTATGGCTACGCCTTTGAGTCTTACTGCACGTCGGAAGCTCCGGCGGGCAAAGGACCTAGGAAAGGCGCGTACCCTGGCGCGCCATCGGGCTGGGGAGGCGATGTGAACACCAATGTCCAGTGGTGCAGCGTTGTTCGGACAAAGCTCGGAGATACGCGTATGATCATCGGCGGAGAGGTGGACTGTGTTCGAGGTAGCGCTCTCCTTATTCCCGAATTCCGGCGTTGGGGAATCTTAGGCTTTATGCAGGAAAATACACGGGGCAGACGGACACCTTCGTGGAATTGAAGACGTCGCTCACGATACGTGGTCAGCAAGATGAGGCGAGATTCGAAAGGTATGATTGGACGTCGATTTGACTTTCGCGCTCACATAGCTGACTGGGGGTAAATCGCCTCTTATCAGGAAACTGCTCAAGTTCTATTTCCAGTCGTTCTTACTTGGGGTACCGGTATGTAGGATTCCACGACGTGCTTGGTCTTCTCGCGCCATTAACGCCCCGTAATTCCGGATGTAGGAGATTGTGGTCGGATTTCGGACACCTGCCGGGGTTGTGACGACGGTGCAGTCGTTCAAGACGATTCAGCTGCCCCGGCTCGTTCGTGGCAAACCGGACGCATGGGACCCTCTTGTGTGCCTCGACTGGGGACAGCGAGTTTTGACGTTTCTCAAGGACGTTGCCCGAACACGGCCGCAAGACGAAAATAGGCATTCTATCCCAGTATGGAGAGTGAGGTTCGTGCCTGGGTCAGGGCTCAACGTAGAAGAGCTCAATCGCGCCGGCGTCGAGGACGTGGAGAACGGCGAAGACCGCGTCGGGTTCCTCCCCCGATGGTACTGGGAAGAAATTGACGCCAACACACCTCCAACACACGCAGAGCAGGCGGAAGCGACAACAGCGCGGGTGCTCAACTTGGCGAGTGCGGGATGGCAGATATGACACGGGGTGACACTCCGCATGGATCCATTTACACGTCGCTGGAGCACCAGACGGCAGACGGACGGATTTGTCGAAGTGTTCGCGCAGGAACACCGTCTGCGTGATCTGGCAGCAGTTGCATCATCCTTTGCACACTTTACAGCCTTGAGGTCACTTTACCGAGTCATCTGATACTAGATCTTGGAATACCCAGATTGACTCCGGGTTGTAGAGGAGACCGTCGGAGTATTTTGCACCCGGGGTGGGGCATGGCCGGAGGAGGAGGGGGAGGCGTTCTGTAGGCGCCTGTAGGTCTGTATGTACGCCAGAGGAGCGCCAATTGGAGTGATATGATCGGACAGACAAAATCGAGTGGAAAAGCATTTTCGCGCGTGACGTGACGGATTCATTTTGCAAGGGGTGTGACCAGCTGAGGATTTTAAAGCCGAAACCCGGAGAATGCCGATACGCGTCGTCGCGTTTCTCGCAGGGCTCAGGACGCCCCAAGTCCCTCTCTCACCACAGACACCACAACGCGCTCGGCCCCACAGCCCCCGTCCTCGCCGTCCCCAACAGCGACCAGCTGGCTGTCCACCACCCTCCTCCTGCTGACCACAACACACGCGTAAATGGCGACTCCGTCGTCCTCAGCCACGTCCCCGTCTCCACCCATGCCTTATCTCCATCATGCGCCCGGAGCCCAGCAGGCCCCTCAACCAGCCCCCACAGACACCGTCGAGCGAGAGCAGAGAAAGAAGGCCGTGCAGAAGTTCCTGGCAAGGGCAGAGGTGGCCATGGTGAGTGCCTTTTCTCTGTCCGACGCGTCCGGCATAGTGGTGGCTCCGACGTGATGCTGTCGGCGGCCCTTGTGGACGCTCTCCGCGCAGTCCTTTGGCCTGTGGGCTCGACGCCCGTATCAGATGTCGGCGTTGCCCACACCCTCCTGTGCCCGAATGTGAAACCTATAACCCCTCTTACTCAACATTCCCACAGGTTACTCGCGCATTGAGGGCGCGTCTATCCTATGCCTCGTACAAGGCTACACACAATATTCCTCATGTTCCGCTGCGCGATTTGGAGGCCCAGAGCCAGAGCCAAGCAGCCTCGTTCACCCGTACAATTGCTGCCAAACGCAAGGCTGTTGGTGCAACCCACCACCATAGCACCCCAAGCATACCGGGCCCCAGTAGCTCAGGCACAGGCGCAGGCAGCCTGAGGCGAGGCGGATCAGGGTCCATGGCACCTCCTGCATCCACCTCTTCTCCTCGGACACACGCCTCGTCCATCCATGGCACCACCGCTTACTCCGGGTATCCCGAAGTCGCGTCGGGGCTTCGAAACGCGAGCCAAGTTCCGAATCTTTACTCCTCCATTCTCGCGCCCCCTCCTACCAAGCAAGGGCGCACTGTCCATAATCCCAACGACCCGCCCGTACCAGCGCCATCGCGGCCTCACGAATCACCGCGATCACGTACCGTCAAGGCATCGCCACGGAATGACCCAGCCCGTCAACAGGCGAAGAACAAGCAACCGAGCAAGAGCACGAAAGCGCCCCCGTCTCCAAATAGGCGACGAACCAAAGGCGGTTCGGTCGACAAGGGGAAGAAGAAGCAAAAACAAGACGACATGGACGTCGATGTTGATGGCGAAAGGGACTTGAAAGCCGCCGCCACTTTGACGTCTCTCCTGCTGCACAACAGGCCATCAATTGCAGGCAGTGCATCTTCACCTAGGTCAAGTATTGATGGATCCGATGTTGGCTCAGTGCACTCGTATTCACATTTCGCTCAATCATCAACTCGGACATCTGCCACCCATCCTCCTGCTCCTTTATCCGCCGCCCCCTCTTCCTCGACCATTATTGTTGAACCTCCTTCCAGAACACAGACTCCGCCACCTCCAGGCAGCGGAAACAAGCAGCAGACCACACCGCGTGCTGCGCCGACAGACAATGAGGCTGCAAACTTGATGTTGTTCCTTGCAACGTCGCCGTCTCCTGCGCGACCTACCAACAAGGACTCGAGGGATATGGCAGCCTATAGAGCTCTTGGAGGAGGTGCTACTGCACTACGCTCGAAGGGAAGGGTTCTTTTCCCTTCTACGGCCGCTGGCGATCCTGCTCCTTCAAGACAAGATGAAGCTTCAGCGGGCACAGCAGCCACCTCCTATAGAACACCAGCTTTGGCCAGGGGTGGCGAAAGCAGCTTTGCCTCTAGCATATCGAGTATAGCTGGTGAACTCGGAGGATCGAAGAGCGGCAGTCCTGCCCCTCAAAACGCGTCGACAGCACCGTCAACCTCTGCTCCCGGATTCGCGTCTAGCTCTGCTCCCTCCCTCCTACCCCCAGCCCACGTCCCTCTCCCGTCGGCCCCGACAAGCCCGGCTGGAAGGAAGGACTCGACATCGAGCCCTCGACCCACCGTTGTCGGGGTTCCATGTGGCGGCGGTAATCCGGGGGGCCCACTTGATTTTAATATCAA